GCTGTCCCTCAGCTCTTCAGCTCAAGGCTAGCACTCTACCACTTGAGCCACAGCGCCACTTCCGGCTTTTTTTTTCCTTTTTGTTTATGTGGTGCTGAGGAATCGAACCCAGGGCCTCATGCATGCAAGGCAAGCACTCTACCACTGAGCCATCTTCCCAGCCCCCTGAATCTTCTTTTTTAAAGTCTAATAATTTGAGTAATTTTTGCTCTGCCAACTCAAAAAATCTTTTATTTAAGGCTAGGGATGTAGCTTAGTAGTACATTATCTGAGGCCCTGAATTACATCCTCTAAACACCACAAACACACACATATAAATAAATAAATTCTGTCTTTCTGTCCCCTCTTCTCTTTCTTCCTCTCTTCTTCCCTCCTTCCCCAGTTCCTTAGCAAATCTACCTACTCAGGGTACACTGTACATGTCCTGCAGCATTTGGTTTCAGGTGGAGTAACAACCATCTGCTGCCAGCAGAGGGCTCTCACATGCTGCAGGTGCCTGGTAGAGGGGCGTGGGGGGGGTGAGGGAGGAGAAGGGAGGGGGGCAAAGCAGAAGTACAAAGGTCTAGCAACCTGCCCTGCAGGACCCATCACCACCAGCAGTGCACTGCCCAGGCCAGTCCTCCGTGAACCTGGTAACTGAGTTCTTGTTTAGAGGACAACAAGCATATACACCATAGACCTAGGGCCTGAGTACTAAACACTCTCCAGACTCCCCAGTCATCTCAGAGACAAACCTGAGATCACAGAGGAGCAGTCAGACCCTGTCCATCCCAGACTGTGGTGCCTCAGTTCTCTCCCCATGTGGCCACCTGTGCGGGTGTGAGCAGAGGATGTCCAGGGTGGGCCAGGGCTGTCCCTACCTGCTTGGCTGACAGAACACTGCTGCTGATGAGCGCCCACACGCAGGACACAGTGGCTGTGCGGATGGCTGCAGCAGTCCTCCCTGCCTGCCACTGCAGATTGGGGACCAAGATATCCTTCAGCACCGTCTCGAGGTGGCCGTGGAACTGCCTGGAGCCAGGGCAGGGGGCAGGTGAGAAGAGTGGACAGACTTTTGCACAGGAAATGGGCTGGAAGAAGACTGGAGCAGGCTCCCCAGGAGGAGACATTTGCATAGCTTTCACTATCCGTCAGAACCTTTCATCTGCACTATGAATGCCAGGGGGCTGGGCAGGGCATAGTGGTTTGGCCTGTAATCCAAGCTACTTGGGATGCCAACATTAAGGAGGATTGTAGTTTGAGAGCAAATTGAGTAAAAGGCTAACAAGATCCCATACTAACAAAATTTAGATGGAATGGCTTCACACCTGTAATTACAGGTGCACAGGAGACATAGATAGGGGAACTATGTATGGTCCAAGGTCCGCCTAGGCAAAAATGTGAAACAAGCTGAAAAGCACTAGGGGCATAGCTTAAGTGGCAGAGCACTTGTCTAGAAAGTGTGAGGCTCTGGGTTCAAACCTCAGTGCTACAAGAGATTCTTCTAAGACAAGACTCTTCCTATACAGAAGTGCTCAACAAGGCTGTCCTCTCCACCTCCAGACTTCCGTGCTCAATCACTGCTGGGGGCAAAGGGGTGGGGGACGCGGGCAGAAAAGCTGCCAGCCAGCACTGGCCCTTGCCCTACAGGGTCAATTAGGTACCTTATGATTCTACTAAATGTTATTTTCTAAAACCCTTCCTCCTATAATTATTTTTCTCAGATCACTGACTAGAAAGCTTACTTCTAAACCTAAGTCCTTCAACAGAAGTCTTTCAGGGTGGACTTTGCAAAGCTGACTCCAACACCACAGTGGTATTTGTAAGGTCAGTTGTTGCAGGATTGGCTGAGCCTTAGAAGGTGGTCGCCATGCATCAGATACACACTGGGTGGTGGTGGTGGTGTATATAGTAGGTCATGTAACCACACTGCCCTGGGCAACATCTTCTCAGTGGAATGGCTGCCTCAGGGCACTGCCAACACTGGACTTAATACTTCCTCATGGTGCCTCCTAAGTCCTAAGGGTCCCCTACAGGAGGAGCAGGAAACAGTGTGGAGGCCAGCTGGAGGCTGCAGTCAAAAGGAAAAGCCTCAGCTGGACGTGGTGGCTCAGGCATAGAATCCTAGCTACTCAGGAGGCTGAGATGTGAGGATCATGTTTTAAAGCCAGCCTGAGCAGAAAAGCCTGAAACTCTTATCTCCAATTTGTAAGGTCCGCTCCTGGATGGCTAGCAGACTCCACCCTCTTCGCAGCAAAGTCTCCACCCAGTACCTGTGTTACCTAGGCAACTGGGACACCTGGAAGAGGTCACATCTGCATCCGCTGAGGTCACATCTGAATTTGATGTGGCCACACCTTTCTCCGCCCATACCCTAGAAAAGGCCTAGCCCAGGCCCAGAGGCCCTCCCTCGCTGCTCTTTTCTAGCTCTCCCTGCTCTATTCTAGCTCTCTCTGCTGCCTGTCTCTCTCACTGCTCTATTCTAGCTCTCTCTGCTACCTCTCTCTCTGCTCTTTTCTAGCTCTCTCTGTTCTTCTCTGCTTTTTTCTAGCTCTCTCTGATCTTTTCTAGCTCTTTCTTCTCTTTCCCAGCTCTCTCTCATTCCCAGGCCTTTCCCAGCCACGTGGAGTGCCAACCTTGCCTGGTCCCAGCAGGTCTACTGAATAAACCTACCCCTTACTTGAATACCACGTGAGTGCTGCTGTTCTTACTCGGCTACTGCTTTTTAAAAACCTAACACAATTAACCACCAAAAGGCAGAAGTGAAGCTATGGCTCAAAGTGGGAGAGTGCGAGGTTTGATCATTAAAGCTATAGATAGGGCCCAGCCCTGAGTTCAAGCCCCAATATTGACACACACACATGCACAGGTGCGCACACATGCACACAAATGAAAGTCTGAACAACTGAGTTAACTCCTGAAGAAACATTACAGTTGTTCATCACATGTGCTTCCACAGATTTGCTCCTGGAAAAAGAAGTAGGAGCAGTGGGTCCTGAGAACTGACAGCCAAACCACCTAAGTTCTCAAGCAGGAGACCCAGGTCTGCAGGCCCTGCCTCGCACTGGTGTGTTCAGGCAGGCTAGGACTCAGTGCCAGGATAGTGTGCAGACTGTAACAAAGAAAAACAGTGGCCTAAGGGCCAGGTACATCCTTCAAGGAGCTCTGGATTCTTCTGCAGACTCTAAACCCAGCCACAGCTCACAGACCACTCCAAGAGACCACAGGGCTCTGATTGTTCCCCCTTCCAGAGGCGGCTCCTTTTCCGTGCTCTCTGTCCTTCTTTCCTTTCAAAGACCTAACAATAGAGGTCCTGAGTATGTTAATGCTGCTACAAGTTCCTTTAGCTTCCAGAAGCCTGCCTAGCTTTCACCATCAATGCAATTCACTCAGTTCATTGTCAGGTCTGAAAAGCCAAAAGGCTTTTAAAACTGAGAACATGCAGTAGATAAGCCATTAATAGTTAATGTGCCCTAAAACTCTTTTGCCTGGTGGAATTTTAATGACCCTACTAAAGCAGCTTTGATTTACGGTTTGGAGTCTCCCTGAGATGTGCCCACCTTCCCGATCTTGCTATTACCCAGAAGAGGGGTGGAGTGGGGAGGAAGGTCCTGTCTAGACATGAAGGACAATGGGGTCTGCCTGTGGTGTGGGAGGTGTGGGGGTCTGACAGTGTAGGGACGTAGAGTGTTTCCCACATGGAAGGGGTAGAGTCTGTCTGGCAGTATGTGGGGGTGGGTGATGGCCAGCACTGCTATGCAGAACGTAGGATCTAGCTCAGTACCAGCCCCAAGGACCCACTTACCCCTGGGAGTTGATGGTGTCATCTGGCCTCAGCAGCACCGTGGACAAGACTGAGAAGAGTTTAAGGCGCATGTGTGGGTCTGCAGTGGGCTGAAGGCAGGTCCTGAGGGTGGGGATCACATGCTGTAGGTTTTCTCCTATGGCTGGGCCTGAAAATGAAGGGTCAGGTTTGCAGAGGGACCACCATACCCAGAATTCCCTGGGCAGGAAAAGGACCCAGGAGCATGCGTTTGGGAAGGGGCACTGAGGTGGGCCTGTCTTGTCAGGCTGGCCTCCTGATCCCTGAAGTCATTATCAAAAGGACAGAACAAAAAAATTGAATCCCTAGACTCTCTCCTTTTACTCAATAACTTTCTATTTCTCTTCTACTTCTCCAGATTCTTCTAAACTTTTTAAAATTAGAATTAGCTAGGAAGGGGTTTCATTTTGACATGCCCACACATGTATATAGTGTACCTTGATCAGAACTTTTTAGACATAGTGTTGCTCTGCTGCAGTCCAGGCAGGCCTAGAAGTTTCAATCCCTTCCTGTCTCTGCCTCCCCAGTGCTGGGATTACAGGCGTGCACCACACCATACCCAGCTACATTTCCAAATTAAAAAAAAAAAAAAAACAAGTCAAGCAGTATTTTAAAGATCAACCAAAATGAATCATTCAAAACATGTACATTGAAAGCCTGGAAGTGAGGCTCAAGTGATAGGGAGTCAACCTAGCAACTTCAGGGTTCTGAGTTCAAACCCTAGTATACCAGCCCCGCAACTAAAAAAAACCAAACAACTTTAGCAGTTGCTACTGGCTCATGCCTATAATCCTAGCTACTCAAGAGGCAGACTACAGCTTGAAGCCAGTCTGGGGAGAAAAGTCTGAGACTCCATCTCCAAAATAAGGATCAAAAAGCAGGGCTGGTGATGTGGCTCAAATAGTAAGAATGCCAACAAGCCAAGTGAGAGGTTCTGAGCTGAAACTCAGGTACTGACAACAATGTACATTGTTGTCCAGCATTTGCTTTTTTTTTTGGGGGGGGGGTCCGGTCATGGGGCCTGAACTCTAGGCCTGGGCACTGTCTCTCAGCTCTTCAGCTCAAGGCTAGCGCTGTACCACTTGAGCCTCAGCACCACTTCCGGCTTTTTTCTTTTTGCTTATGTGGTGCTGAGGAAT